CCTCGCCCCTTCCCCACCCCCTCCTCCGTCTTGGTCCCCGGCGCTGCTCCGGACCACTATGACCATGAGATCCGCAGTGTTCAAGGCGGCCGCGGCCCCTGCCGGCGGCAACCCTGAGCAGCGACTGGACTACGAGCGGGCTGCGGCGCTGGGCGGGCCGGAGGACGAGCCCGGGGCGGCCGAAGCCCACTTCCTCCCCCGGCACCGTAAGCTCAAGGAGCCGGGACCCCCGCTGGCCTCCTCCCAGGGCGGGAGCCCCGCGCCTTCCCCGGCCGGCTGCGGCGGCAAGGGCCGGGGCTTGTTACTCCCGGCCGGGGCGGCCCCCGGGCAGCAGGAAGAGAGCTGGGGCGGTTCGGTGCCCTTGCCCTGTCCGCCCCCGGCCACCAAACAAGCCGGCACTGGGGGGGAGCCAGCCGCAGCCGGCGCTGGCTGCAGCCCCCGGCCCAAGTATCAGGCGGTGCTGCCCATTCAGACGGGCTCTCTCGTGGCGGCGGCCAAAGAGCCTACGCCCTGGGCTGGGGACAAGGGTGGGGCGGCTCCCCCAGCTGCCACCGCTTCGGACCCGGCGGGACCCCCACCACTACCTCTGCCCGGGCCGCCACCCCTCGCGCCCACCGCCACAGCCGGGACCCTGGCGGCCAGCGAGGGCAGATGGAAGAGTATGAGGAAGAGCCCTCTCGGGGGTGGCGGCGGCTCGGGAGCCTCCAGTCAGGCCGCCTGCCTCAAACAGATCCTTCTGCTGCAATTGGACCTCATCGAACAGCAGCAGCAGCAGCTGCAGGCCAAGGAAAAGGAGATCGAGGAGCTGAAGTCAGAGAGAGACACGGTACGGGAGGGGTTAACCTGCGTTCGGGACGAGGAGCAAGTTATGCGCATGCTCAGGGGAAGGGGTGCTGTAGAAGGCTAAGGTCCCCTGGGTTAGGGGGTAGAGGAGGTTGGCCACCAGCAAGGGAGTATCTTAGGTGCCGGGTCCTTCGGAGCCAGGCTCACAGACACGTTGGGTCAGAGAGAAGGGTTAAAGGGCAACCTCCCAGGGGGAGGGGGAGGGAAGGATTTGGGTGTCAAAGGGTTAATTTAAAATGACAACCCCAAACTTGTGGGAAAGGCATTGAGAGTGGGAAAACACCTGAATTGTGAGGGGTTAAAAATGAAAGGGTGGGGTGCAAATGTGATGTCTGTATGGAAGGGGTTAAATTAAAGAGCTATTGCGTTAGAAATTGTGGAGGAGAGGGACTTAGCAGCTGTTGCTCTAACCACTGCTGCAGCATCTTTAGACAGGAGGGTCAATGGCCTTTTAGCAAGCAGAGGGATAGAGGTGATTTACGTGGAATCTTATTTTAGCATTCTTAAATGATGTTATGAGAATCCCTGCCCTTGATTTCAGACAGTTTTTTTATATTTATTTTTTTTAGTTGTAGGTGGACACAATATCTTTATTTCATTTTTTTTTAATGTGGTGCTGAGGATCGAACCCAGTGCCTCATGTGTGCTAGGTGAGTGCTCTACCACTGAGCCACAACCCCAGCCCCCAGACAGTTTTTAATAGGAATCTGAGTTATAAAACATGACCCATTGACCAGATCCCTTGTATAAGCATGGTGTTTGAAGCTGGAAGATTTTAAGACATCAGGGGAAAGTACGCTTGTTCAGTATATTAAGTAGATACCCCCTTTGTGCATAAAATTCCTGTTTTAGAATCTTAACGTAGTAGGAAGTCGTTTATTATTTCTTTGTGCTTCTAAGGAGTGTGACTCCATAGGCTTGTTTTTTTACTGCTGCAGTTAGTTAAGGACACCTAGGCAATAAACATACTCCTTCAGATATCAGGGGAGCTGGGGTGATGGGGTATTACTGTGTTAACATACCTTTAGCTGTCTAAAAATAAACATGGTTTCTACAATTGTGTTCAGGCTGCAGCAGTTTTCTCTCTCCTCTCTCTCTGTGGCGTTGTGTGCGCCAAGGGCTGAGCAGGGGAGGAAAGGGCTATTCATTTTGTTTGCTTTTCAAATGAATCGCATCAGGCGGCTGTTTTATTGGAGAATGCATTCTGCAAGGTAGAATGAGAGCTGGGGCAGGTCTCATTAAAATATCTCATGGTGTTGATTTGTGGAAGTTACTCAACATGGAGGTGGCACTGCTCAGCTACTGTACTGCAGTCCAGGGGTGTGATGGTACTGTAATTACAACACATCATATCCTTACATGGGGAGGGGGTGGAAAGAGAAGGGCCAGTGAAGAAGAAATCAAGGAAATGTCACCCACAGACTGTGGTTAAGTAATGCTAAGGCTGTGAATCAAAACAGATATAAGAAGAAGAAATGAGACTATGGCTGACAAGGGGTCTCTCTGCTGATTGTTGGGGTTTCTGCTCAGTTCCTGAGGTAATAGCCCCTTTGGAGGCTTTCCTAAGCCGGGAAAGTGGGGTGAGTTAAGGATAGTGTCAGTCTGAACTTGGCATTGGAGGTTTCTGTTGTGTATTGCAGTCTGAGCATTGTTTAAGCTTTTTTTTCTCTTATTTTAGTTGTTTGGCCTCTGTTGAAATCTATGTAACGGATGTAATGAAGGCAGCATTAATATCATTGTTTAACCCAGACACAATTTTTGTAATAGGGTGTAAGTAGCACAATGGGCACCTTTCTTAAAACTGAGTTAAGGTGAAGTTTTTAATGACAATAGACTTCCATTTTCTGTGTATGTGATTTTTCCTTTTACTTAGAATTAAAGGACTCTGATTTTAATAAATATTTAGATAAGTGGGTATAATCTGTTTTCTGTTACTTAAAATGCAAAGCAATATGTATATGTTGTGTTTGAATTATTGAATGGAGTGTTCATAATTTTAGAAGTATCCCCCAGTGCACAAATACACCACTTACAAATAGCCCTGCCATCCCTAGTGTCACTGTGGGAGCTCTTAATTCCTTCTCAATGCACTATTTGGACATCACCATTGTGTACAGAGTTCTGGAGTGGAAGTAGAGAGAATAGGATTTAGACATCTTGGGACCTCTTAAAAGAACATAGGGCTGAGGGTGTAGCTTAGTGGTAGAGTACTCACCTAATGTGTGCAAGACCATGAATTCAGTCCCCAGCACCATAGGGGAAAAGACAGAGATCATATATAAAGTAATTCTGGAAACTCTAAAACCCACTAGGAGCCACAAGGATAGCAGTACAAAGACTGTGCCATTAAAAGTCCTGCTGTGGCCCCTCCCAATGGAGAGGATCTTCTTTCAGACTTCCCCATACTTCTTCCCATATAGATAAACCCCTAAAGCATAACTTGTCTTCTTTACTGCGTTTCAGGAAAACTGTTCGGATTAATGTCTGCCAATTAAAAATAAGTTGAATAGGACTGGGATGTAGCTTAGTAGTAGAGCACTTGCCTAGTATGTCCAAGGCATGGGTTCTATCCCCAGCATTGTCAAAAAAGACCTGGTTGAATCTATAGGGTCCAGAGAAAGGCAGAAGACTATGCTGATTCCTAAATGGGCCAAAGTGCCTGTGTTTAATTTTTGTGTGTGTGCTAAATCTCCATTTTGCCACTCTCTTTTAGCTCCTTGCTCGGATTGAACGTATGGAAAGACGGATGCAGCTGGTAAAGAAGGATAACGAGAAAGAAAGGCACAAGTTGTTTCAGGGCTATGAAACTGAAGAGAGAGAGGAAACAGAGCTATCTGAGAAAATTAAACTGGAGTGCCAGCCGGAGCTTTCGGAGACATCCCAAACTCTGCCTCCCAAGCCTTTCTCATGTGGGCGGAGTGGAAAGGGACACAAAAGGTGTGCTGATAACTTTTTTCTACTGTTTGGACCTGATGAGAACACTTGTTACCAGTGACTGAGAGTAGGGGATTGGGATTTATGAATTGGTTTTATAGGAGCCATAGCCTGAATTATGAAGTCTTCTATACTGAGATATTGTCTTGAAACTTTCTTGTGTAGGCTATAAAAGTCTGTTAGGAACACTTTGGTCACAGTAGTAATTACAGAATGCAGAGTACATCATAAAGAGAATGTGCAACAAATATGACAGCTGAGTTTCTTAAAGAAAACTGTAGTAGTTCAAGTAAGAAGTATTAATACCTCTATTGTGTTAGGTGCTAGTAGACACAAAATATAATGCATAGCAAGGTAGGTACAGTGGCTCATGCCTGTAATCCCAGTGGCTCAGGAGGCTGAGGCAGGAGGATCGCAAGTTCAAAGCCAGTCTCAGCAACAGCGAGGCACTAAGCAACTCAGTGAGACCCTGTCTCTAAAAAAAGCACAAAATAAGGCTGGAGATATGGCTCAGTGATTGAGTGCCCCTGAGTTTAATCCCCAGCACCAAAAAAACAAAAAACAAAACAAAAACACACATAATTGTCTTTGGACTCAAAGAAATTAATCAGACTGTAAGGATAGGCAAAAAAATTTTGAAAACTCAGAATTCAAATTTGATAAAATATGCAGATTTACAAAACTGATACAAACTAATTTTTGTAAGATTCAGGAATATTAAAGATTATTCTTAGTTAGAATTCTGAAACTTCGTAAGGAGCAGATGGATCTTAAAAAAGAAGTAAGGAATTTAGATTGGCAAAGAGAAAAAAGAGATGGCGTTCTGGAGATGTGCAGGGAGGGAGAGAGAGGTAGGAGAAAGAGAGCCAGCAGACAGCAAAGAAAAAATACGAGATTGTAATCAACATGGTATATGATTGGGGGATAAAGTAATTATTTTATTTTTTGTACAGGGATTGAACCCAGGAGCACTTTACTACTGAATTACATCCCTAATTCTCTTTATTTATTTATTTCTCATGTAGCTGTCCAGACTGGCCTCAGACTTGCCATCCTGCCTTAAAGGCCTCCTGAATTACTGGATTTATAGGCATGTGCCACCATATCCAGCTGGGGGTTAAAATAGAGATTATATTAGTCTGTAGTTGGAAGTAATGAAATAGTTGGCACAGAGTAGTGGCACCAAACTTTGGCTATAGAACTTTGAATAAAATAAAAATGTTTTTTAATATAGTAAGCAATTCCAGGTGCAGTGATACTTGCTTGTAATCCCAGCAACTTGGGGGTTGAAACAGGAGGATCACAAACTAGCCTAAGCAACTTAGTAAGACCCTGTCTCAAAATAAAAAAAGGAAAGGGTTGAGGATGTAGCTAAGTAGTAGAGTACCCCTGTGTTTAATTCCCTAGTTCCTAAGGGTGAAAATTAGCAGAAAGTAGGTACTATTAGATTCTTAAGTATGGAAACTAACTTGTTCAACAAGCACTTATTAAGGGCCTATTCAACATACTATTTAGGTATGAGGCCATTTCTGCTCATGACTTCCAAATGAGCACCAGATATTTAGGTACATGATGGTACTCATTCTGGGACAAGAGAAGAAACTCGTCTTGTTCCAAAATGTAAATTAGGTTAGATTTTATTCAAGAGTCAATAAATTTTATCACATTTTCTTCCCTATCTATTAGGAAAACCCCATTTGGAAGTACAGAAAGAAAGACTCCTGTTAAAAAGCTGGCTCCTGAATTTTCAAAAGTCAAAACAAAAACTCCTAAGCACTCTCCCATTAAAGAGGAACCCTGTGGTTCCCTATCTGAAACTGTTTGTAAACGTGAATTGAGGAGCCAAGAAACCCCAGAAAAGCCCCGGTCTTCAGTGGACACCCCACCAAGACTCTCCACTCCCCAAAAGGGATCCAGCGTTCACCCTAAGGAGAAAGCCTTCTCAAGTGAGATAGAAGATTTGCCGTACCTTTCTACCACAGAAATGTATTTGTGTCGTTGGCACCAGCCTCCCCCATCACCGTTACCATTACGGGAATCCTCTCCAAAGAAGGAGGAGACTGTAGCAAGTAAGGCATAGAGAACACTTGCTCTTATACCCTAGTGGTGGCGGTCAAGCTAACAAGTGTGAAAATGCCTTTGGCATTTTTTAAAAAGTGCAATCAATAAAGCAGAGTTCTGTCAAGAATGAGTAAGTTAACAGCCAGAGACAGACACTGTGCAGGCATTGCAAATAGATGGAATTACAGCAAAATGTGCTCAATGTATTTGCCTGCTTACAACACTGGGAGATGTGTTTGCCAGTAAGTTGCTCATCACAAGAGCACCAGACTTGGGGGTGTAATCTCCGGCAACTTGCATGCCCTCTGAAAGAAGGGTTTTCTGTGCTGTGAAATGCATAGAACTTATACTTTGCCATGCACGACTGTTCCTGCAATTGATATTGTGTGAAACCTGGGAGGGTGGTCTTTGGGTGTTCTCAGGGGCCAATGGTAATTTTTGGTTGGGGAGCCAGCTTGGGGTGGGGAATTTCACCTGGGCCTCCGCTCTAACTATATAAGCATTTATCTGTATCTCTATGTCCCGGTCTGGGGGGCAGGAGGAATCTGCCAAAGACCAACAGTCTTACATTATCTTACTATACTTCACAAAGGTTCTAAAATGTGAAGAGTTTACTTGGATTGCAGTAGCCCATTGGTTGTTCATATATTTAAATAAAATGGTCTACAAACTATTTTTCAAACAATAAGGACTATCTTGGGATATCTGAGCTGCTTGGGGAGGGTGTGGGGTGTGGGACTTTGGTCTTCATTCCCCTTTTTTTGTTTTGTTTTGTTTTCTTTATGGCTTCCACACAGAGATGCTCCCCTATCTCCTACATCAACCAGTAACTGAAATGTGTCTTCAATCATGTGACATTAGTCTATGACAGTCGCTGTGGGTGCTCTGGGGTAATGGTGGGGAAAGCCTTCTTGGATAGAGCCTCAGCCCTGAGTTTCTACCACTGTGCCTTTCCCTAGCAGAGATGGGGATGGGAATCCATTCCAATAAGTTGAGAGCATTCTCCAGGCTTTGTTTGGCTGCTCTGGTGACAAAATTAAGTGGGGAAGGTAGATTAATTACCTAATATTCATTAGGTCTCACACTTGAGTACATGAGATAGAGTAGGATCCTGATCTAGATTCAGATTTTTTTTTGTTGGTTCAGTCAGTTGAACAGGTTTATCCTTAATGCTAACCTTTTTGCTGCCATGGCAATGCTGTGTAACAACTTAAGAGAAACCATGAAGCAACTTCCCATCCGGAATTGGGAAATGGCTTGGTCCAGAGCTATTCTGTGTGGCTGGCTGTTTTTGAAAACTTTGTCTGCCCTAGTACAGCAATTTCCAAACACCTCTGAGATTGTGGGCATTAACAATATGAAGGAGTATGATTGGAGAGATCCCAGTTCCTTGAGGAGCCTGAGTTATGAGTAAATGTGTGAATCTTTACTCTTGATGCCCGTATCTCAAGAGGAAGTCTCAATGGCTTGTTCTAAGGAAGCTAAAGTCTTTGTACATGTTGTTGAGGCTGGACCAGCAAGGTAGTTTGTTTGGAGGGAGGAGGGAGCTGTTGAAGAAGACTACATATGTAAGTTTTGAGAACACTGATCTTTTATTTGAAAAATAGGGTCAACTTTTACTCACCTGCCATGTTCTGAGTTTAAGGTTTGATATCCTTGGCCATCAACTGTTGCAGGGAAACCACCCTAAATAATGAAGAAAAGAAGTCGTCTCAGTGTAAAAAAAAAAGTGGTGGGCTTATTTTCTTTTCTTTTGTCTGTTGTTCCCTCTTCCCCTCCCCCAGAGAGAAATTCTCAAAAGAGCAACTCAAAAAACAAAATGGCTTCCTAGTGAGAACTTCAGTGATGATCCTTTCCTCCATTTTGGGTATGGGCTTTTTTTCTTTTTACACTGAGATGATTCTTCTTTCCTGCATTATTTAGGGTGTCTGATGCCATCAAGTGTTGCAGGAGAAACTTCAGTCTTGGCTGGTGAGTAGAATAGGAATTGTGATGGCTGGGCCTGGGGTGGGGGTTGGTGGGATGGTGGATGGTTGGGAGCTGCATTCCCCATCATTTGGATGTGGGAGAGTGAGATTCCTTGGTGTTTGATTGATTCGCTACCATAGACTTCAAAATGACAACAAATTTCAGTTGTTTTTCAGGAACTGCAATAGCATCCATTATATGAATTGTCAGGTATTGGCTTAGGGTTTTTTGTGATCCTGAGTTTGGCAGACTGCAATGGCATTTTAGGTTCTTTTATACCATAGCGAGGACACTGAATATGGCTTCAGGTGAGGCCATAGAATGGATTCCTATCACTTGGTAACCTTGTCTTATCTGGGGAGAGACCTCTTGTCCTAGTGAATAGTTGGAGGGTTGTATGACTCTGGATTTAAGGGTGGTTCCACCCCTCCTCTCTTTCTTTTTCTTTTTCTTTTTTTTTTCAGTTCCTTCTTGGAGGGACCATTCTGTAGAGCCTCTAAGGGACCCAAATCCTTCAGACCTTCTAGAGGTAAGTACCTAACAGTGATCAATGGGAGGTAGTAAGAAACTCAAGAGAATATAGGAAGATTTAGCTGGGCATGGTAGCATGTACCTGTCTTCACAGCTACTCTTGAAACTGAGGCAGGAGGATTGTTTGAATCCCAGAGTTTGAGGCTCGCATGGGCAACCCTGTCTTTTTTTTAAAAAAAAAAGCTGGGCAGCACATAGCATGCCTGTAATCCCAGTGACTCAGAGGCTGAGACTGGAGGATCACAAGTTCAAGGTTCACCACAGCAAGTTAACAAGACCCTATCTCAAAATAAAAAATAAAAAGAGGTAGAAATGTAGATCAGTGGTAGAGTAGTACTGGATTAAATTTGCAGGGGGCTCCCCCTACACACACACACATACACACACACACACATACAAAGGAAGTGTAACTTGAATATGTCATAGTACTATGGAATAGATTAAATAGAACTTTAAGTCCAAAAAGTCTAATTTCTTCGTTTTATACATGAGAAAACTGAAATCTAGAGTAGTTAAGTGATTATTAAAAAATAAGTAGCTAGGGGCTGGGGTTGTAGCTCAGTGGGAGAATGCTTGCCTAGCATGTGTGAGGCTCTGGGTTCTATTCTCAGCACCACATAGGAATAAATAAAAATAAAGTTCTATCAAAACTATATAAGTAGCTAGGTAGTGTCCAAAACAAAGTTAGATTTCATGCTAAAGAGGAAAGTGAGCATGTTCAGTTTAGCAACAATCTTATATATTCTGACTGGGCATGGTGGACACCTGTAATCCCAGCAGTTTAGGAAGCTGAGGTAGGAGGATCGTGAATTCAAAGCAAGCTTCAATAAAAGCAAGGCACTAAGCAACTCACTGAGACCCTGTCTCTAAATAAAATACAAAATAAGGCTGGGGATGTGGCTCAGTGGTCTGAGTATCCTTGAGTTCAATCCCTGATAACCAAAATAAATAAATAATAAAAATTAAAATATATGTATATATATATTATACACACACATATATGTTAATTACAAGCTCATTTGACTCTTAAAATTTTAGTATTTTAAACTTAGACTCTTATAAAGAATGGTGGAAGGAGAGTTTATGGCAATATCAGGGGTGTTTCAGTTTGACCTAACTTTTACCTTGGAAAATTATGGGAATGATCTTGAAGTTCAGAGATTCTGAAAAGATGAGGGTAAGGAGAGGAGTACATGTTTAATTTATCTGTTACCAAGAGATTCACATGATATCCCTAGAACTCAGACTCAGGTAAAAAATTTTACATTCCTGGAAGCAGGATGTTACTTAGTATATAAGGGTGACATGGTGATAAATAGTTTATCACTGTTGTTTCTTACACAGAATCTGGATGACAGTGTGTTTTCTAAGCGGCATGCAAAACTGGAGCTGGATGAAAAGAGAAGGAAAAGGTAAGGCCAGAAACATGCATTCTGTGAACAGTTCCACTCTAGGACACTGACCTTGCACTTCCATGCTGTGGAGAGTCCTGGAGCTCTTAACACTATTACATTACTAGCTTCCCAGATGGTTGAGTATTTTAGTTGGAAGTGGTAGTTGTAGGGTAAACAAGTTTGGCTTCTTTTTCTTCATTTATGCCCTTATTCTGTTCTGCTTTGTGTGGAACACCAACACATGGTCTAGACTCCTAAACCTAAACAGCTCTTCCCTAAACAGGCAGTCAGTTCTCTTTACCTCACCCAAAGGAGTCAGCAAGGATCTTCCTAGCATCTGGATTGTGTGAGTTGCTTTTTTAGAGAAAATTTTGGTAAGTAGTAATATTGGGTTTGTTTGTTTCTTTTGTTTGTCTGGTTTTCTACAGATGGGATATTCAGAGGATCAGGGAACAAAGAATTTTACAGCGACTGCAGCTCAGAATGTATAAAAAGAAAGGAATTCAGGAATCTGAGCCTGAGGTTACCTCATTTTTCCCTGAACCAGATGATGGTAAGTAAGTTCTGCCTATTTAAAAAAGTAGGTTTTTCAAAGGAGAAAAAAAAGGGTGCAAGGCTCCACACTGTCATGTTCTGTACTATATTTTGGAGCTGAGTATAGTTGCTAGACACTTGGCATCTTTGTCACTAATGAGGTCCCATTTGACTTTTTTCCATAGTTGAAAGTTTGATGATTACCCCCTTCTTGCCTGTTGTAGCATTTGGACGACCATTACCAAAATTAACTCCACAGTAAGTATGAAGATCTTTTCTCCCTCCCCTCTTAGGTGGCCTGTATCTCCTTTTCAGATGCATGGAAGCTTAGATAGAAGGTAGAACAGGTGGCTTAGGGATAGCCATGATTCTTTGATAGAAATAAGGCTACTTGGACAAATGGCTTTTGCAGGGATAAAATTCTCAAGCCAGGAATAGGAAGATTGCTTTTTGAGTTAGAAATAGATTATTCTGTGTGTGTGTGTGTGTGTATGTGTGTGTTTGAGATGCTGGGCATTGAACCCAGGGCCTTCTGCATGTGAGGCAAGCACTCTACCAACTGAGCTATATCCCCAGCCCTATTCTGTCACTTTAATGGTATACTGACTGTTGCTGTGGCTTTGAGGCAAGAAAGACACTCCAGACTTGGGACTCAGAATTCAGGTCTAAAAGTCTTGAGAGACATGATTTTTTTGGAATTAATATGGTGTCCACACTGAATCCTTTCTGGTCTTGCAAACTGTTCCTTATCCCTTTTTTGCCAGGAATTTTGAGCTGCCCTGGTTGGATGAGCGTAGCCGATGCAGGTTGGAGATCCAGAAGAAGCAAACGCCTCACCGGACGTGTAGGAAATAGCTGTGCGGACAAGAACCCTCTGTCTTCAGATAGTTGTAGCATGCCATTCCCAGAGAGTGGCAGAGACCTGTATATGTGACCTATGTCCTCATGTATGTTATCATCATTCTTTGATAATACCTTCCATACTCCCTCAATTTTAGTTTTGTTTTCATCACTCTGATTTCCTAAAAACTCTCTTTCATTGGGCTAATTGTCAATTATGGAGGGTGATTGGGATTTTCTTTCCCTTTTTGGGGAAATGAGTTCTCAAGCTAAACCTATAGGATGGGTCTGCTTCTACACATTTGCCTATGTTAAAGGGGTACAAGGGCTCTCTTCATTAGACATGTGTAAGATGAAGCAATCCCTGCCTTTAGGAGCTGTCTGCCTGGCACTCTTCTTGCCCTCGCATACTCTCTGTATAGCTTGGGTATAGTGGTTTTTACCCTAAAATAAAACAAAAAAACCTCACCATGAGCATTAGGACCAGATGAGGAATAACAAGTGAAGTGAAGCAAGTCATCTTCACAGAGTAGGAAAAAGAGTGGAGATTTGGTAGATGAATATCTGGAAAAGATAGTTGTTCTCTTAAAACTATTCTGTGATATAGCCATGTGGGAAGGGATATGTGACTGTGATTATTTTCTTAATTAATGGGTAACTAAAGTTCTTCCCCCACCCCTCAAAAAATAAAATCTTTGGAAAAGTGAATGGGAATGTTAGTTTCAGACAAGTTGTGGTGCTAAAAAGAAGCATTTGTCATTTGGGGATGGCATGCCAGAACCTGTATAGATGTCCTTGTGTCACATCACTTCTCAAGTATTCCTTAGTTGGGCTTTATCCTTTTAGCTGAGCTCTTGGTGGTGGGGTAGAGATTTAGGGAGGGTGGGGGGAGGGGGTGGAAATGTGTGCTTCCTTTGGCTGGCAAATGTCTAAATCTTGAAACAGATGTACCTAATGAGCTTCTCCATTCACTTTGTAAAAATACATTTGTATGTGTACCATCTTGGTCCCTTCCCCTGCCTCCGTTTTGTTAGAAAAATTTCAGGACAGCACTCCCAGGCCACTTTGGTCTCAGTGTACGATCCCTGTTAACTATCTGGAAGAAAAATAGAGACAAGACTTCTGGTCTTAAATATATAGGAATTGCCTTTCCTTAGTCTTCAGGACTATTGTGTGAAAACAAGTAGGGGTCTAATCTCCTAGAAGGTAGGGGCTTTTATCCATGAAGAGAATATGTCCCCAGATTATTAGCACTTTTAGAGGAGAAGCCAAGGTATGTAGGGTGTGTGGCCGGCCCATCAGTGGAGCATGAGAGAGAACGGGACACCATTGTGGGAAGAGAAGAAAAGTTCCTCAGGGGCCTCCCACTGCTAAAGCTTTTTTGTGAAATGTTGATCTGTGCTCCCTGGGTTTGACTTTGAAAGAATTATTCCGGCAGCACATGTAGTATTCTTGGATGATCTTGCTGCTCTTATTTCTCTGTGTGTGTATGTGTGTGTGTGTGTGTGTGTGTGTGTGTGTGTGTGTGTGTGTGTGTGTCTATGGGTTTTCATTTGTAACTCCATCTGCTTAGGAGAGTGGGCTCTCTATAAGGGAACCTGCTGCAAACTTCATTGCAGTAAGGATGTAGAGAGAAATAGGACTTACTCCACTAGGGGCTCTCATCTCACATCACACCTTAAGGAAAAGGAGATTTCTAGAAAAATTGGGCCAGATTTTCTTTGTTCTCCATTATTTTAATGTGGCAAGCTGTTTAGTAGTCCTTTTCTGACCTGTTATGTTCCTTTATAATGTGCCCCAAAGGAAAAAATACCCCAATCAGTGTCTCTTTACTTTGTTCCCTGATCCCTCTCAGTTTCTTCTTGATTTCAGCACTTGTCAGATTCCTAATTTTAGGGCTGGGTTAGGAAATTTAACCTTTATATTTCTGCCCTACACAGGGGACTCCTCAGATATTGAACTTTTGCTTGACTGAGAGGAATCCATGAGGTGCTATCTGGCCAGACTTAAGTGGATTCTATTTCCTTGGTTCTCCCTTTCTCTGAGGGCCTCTTATTTTATTGTCCCCTCTTCTAGATAATTCTCCTTTGATTTGAGTACTTTGAGGTTCCTTGACAAGGAGGTTGGAGCAAAGTTCCAAGGGTGAAATTACAGTGTGTTAAGAGTGAGGGGAAAATTTGTCTTATTTTTCCCTACATGGGATACAACACTGTGAAATTCAATCTTCAACTGAAGGCCCTGCAATTCTCCTAAAACATAGTTTTTTGTTTCCTTCTTTAACGAGGTTTAAGCTAGCGTTAATAAATTAAAAAGAGAAATTGCTTGTCTGTCCACTTCAGCTTTGTTTTATGCCCATTTCATATTGTTGTCTGTGTTGTAATTCATACTTTTGATACCATTTCTGATGTGTAAAATTGGTTGTCTTGTAAATATCTTATAAAGAGTTCAATTGTAAATAAACTATTGTGGCTGTTAATTTTTGAACTTCTGCTTCAATTTATTAGGTTTGTTGAAAAATTCTGCTTGTATATTTAAAAGATGGGAAAAAGAAATCCATTTCCACAACAAAATAGAATAACATAATTTTCCCTTTTATATAATGTACTCCTTTCCATTTGTGTAGAGTGCAATGTTTGTTTCATCCCTCTGTTGAGTGCTTCCTTATACATAACTGGCAATTTTAAAAACAAGATTGTAGGATACTTGATGCCCAATGTCTACAATAATAAAATCTCATAACTGGAAATATTTTATAGGTCATCTAGTCTGACCCTTAATACATGATTTCTCTTGGACAACATTCCATACAAATGAATCCAGCTCTGCTTCAACCCAATGCCTTTCCTAGGCAACCCCTATTGGGTCCTCTCTATTCCTGCAGGAATTCTCTTCTCACTTAGAAAATCCGACTGTAATTTGCTAAAAACAAAAATAACACCTAACTTCCTATTGTTTGAACCCACTGGTTCTTACTTTGCCTTTGAGGGTGATGAAAAAATGTTAATCCCTTCTTTATTCCTTAGAGTTCATCTAATAGTTAAGATGGCTATGGCTATCCTAAGTCTTCTCTTCATGGTAAACATTTAGAAATCTTACAATTGTTCCTCAAAAGAAAGAAATTCAGAACTTTCAGTTCCTTCTGGATGAGTAACAGTTTACCCATGTCCATTTGTTGAAATTTATTTTTTAGTTTTAGGTAGACACAATATCTTTGTTTTTTTATTTTTATGTGGTGCTGAGGATAGAACCCAGTGTCTCATGCAAGCTAGGCGAGCACTGTACCACTGAGCCACAACCCCAGTGCCCTGCCATGCCCATTTGAAAACTGAATTTGGACCAAATAACTGAAAGGACAAAATGACAGACTTCCCTTTCCTTATTAGACATTAAAGTTCACAGCCTTATTTGTATTAATTTAGCTTACGATCAATAAATTCTCCAGGTCTTTTTCTGTAACTTATTAAATCATACATCCTCCATTTTGAACTTAGGCAGTTGGATTTTTGGAGCTAGATTTACAAGTTGTTACATTTGGCCAACTAGACAGATGGTTTTGGGCCACCAGTTAAGATTGTTTGGATCTTAATTCTGTTTCAGAAGTCATTCGTGGCGGGGGCGGGGGCACATGCCTGTAATCCCAGCAGCTCCAGGCTGAGACCTGAGGATCCCAGGTTCAAAGCCAGCCTCAGCAACAGCGAGGTGCTAAGCAACTCAGTGAGACCCTGTCTCTAAATAAAATACAAAACAGGGCTGGGGGTGTGTCTTAGTGTTCCAGTACCCCTGAATTCAATTTCTAATATCCCCCACCCCCCAAAAAAGAAGGCATTTGTAATTCCTTCAAGTTTCATACTGTCTATAAATTTGATACCCATAACGATCCTTAACTAAGATTTACAAAAATATTAACAAAGAATTTGTGCTATATCAGTGACTTTATTTGTTTGTTATATAATCTTAATGTCAACTCCCCTAGGTACAATAACTTAACTCCTGCACCTTGTATATCCTTATTATGGTCTAAGAAAATATAATTTTTTTCATTGCTGACAAACGCCTTGCTAAAATCAAAGCATTCCCGTTTGGTAACCCTGAACTAGAAGGAAATCAGATCAGGATTTTGAACCAATACTAGTTTCTATTTATCTGTTTACATTGGGCCTAAAATCTTGATGAAACCAGCATCAATTTGGGAGAGGTGGCAGCTGGGGTGTGAAGTCGCATGAAAAGGAGAGGAAAGGAGGACATCAGAACACACTGCAACATTAAGTTCTCCGACTCCACTGCAGATAATTAGTTTCTCCTTCACCCCTTAGCTTAAATTTGATGTGGCAAATATGACCCAGTACTTCAGCTTTGGAGATTTACCTTGATTTGATTCGTGATTTAACCAAACGAATGCAGTAAAATGCTCTGCCTCAAACGTAGGCAAAACAAAAAATGGAGACAGAAAACCATGAAACAGTCCAAATGCTGCAATGGAGCCATGACAAGACTATCTACGCCTTCTACTAGGAAAGCCCAAGATGGCCGGGTGCGGGACCCGAGTGACAGCCAAAGTCCAGCTCCCGGCACCCTGCGCCTGCCTAAGGGAAGCCAAGGACAGTATCACTCTCCCTTACGTCACCGAATACGTAATCCCGTTTGCCCGAAAACGTGCCGCAGGGCGCAGGCTCCGCCCCCCAAAGAGCGGGGCGATCAAGCGCAGGACGTGAAGCATGCCGGGATTAGCTCTGGAGCTTCCCAGTAGCCTCTGCGGCGGGCGTGGTGCGTAAGGAGCTGGCCGGCGGTGGCCGTTCTCCGTAAGATGGCGGACCGGCGGCGGCAGCGCGCTTCGCAGGATACGGAAGACGAAGAATCTGGTGCTTCGGGCTCCGACAGTGGCGGCTCCCTAGCGCGGGGCGGCGGGAGCTGCAGCGGGAGCGCTGGAGGCGGCGGCAGCGGCTCTCTGCCTTCCCAGCGCGGTGGCCGCGGCGGGGCCCTCCATCTGCGGCGGGTGGAGAGCGGGGGCGCCAAGAGCGCTGAGGAGTCCGAGTGTGTGAGTGCGCGCGGGCGGGGCGGCGAGCCGGCCGGGGGCGGGGTGTAGGTGAGGCAAGATGCTGGGAGCAGATTTTGTTAGAGGAGAGGAGAGTTATCCCGGGGCGAGTTTGCAGCCATCCGGAATCCCAAGGGAAGGAGAGGTTGGGGGATTCTGGGGAGCGGGGAAGAGACGCTGCAGATGAAAAGCCGATGTTTATTCAGAAATTGGGACTGGAGATGAAGAGGCAGGCCTCCCTCAGATATTACTTGTTAAAGATTTACCTTTCTCCATGTCTGTTCAACCATTTTGTGTTGAGTCTTCAACAGTCCACCTACATTTCTTATTGGGCTTCTCACTTCTGGAAATCACAGAGCTAACCCTGTTTTCTCCTTCCCCTCAGGAGAGTGAAGATGGCATGGAAGGTGATGGTGAGCACTGTTTTTTACCTCATCATAAGAGTATTTGTGTACATAAACTCAGGTCACCTATTTCCAACAATAGACATCCTCTCAGACTGTTACGGATTTGAGGGACGGTGCTGCAGAGTGGCTTTTTGGAACATAGTGGTTAAGAGCATAGTTTTTGGCTAGGCACAGTGGTGCATGGGGATCAATCCTCAGCACCCCCACTCCCCAAAAAAGAAGAGGTTCTGGAAGTGTGATCTTGGGGCAAATTAGTCACAGTCAATTTCCCCTACTTTTATCTCTTTGGTAGGTTGATGTAAGAATTGAGAGTTTTAGCTTGACCCACAATAAAAAGTCAGGAATGCAATTATAATTTCTGTTGCTTTTTCTTGACAAATTTCTGTTTTCTTTTAGCTGTTCTCTCCGACTATGAAAGTGCAGAAGACTCAGAAGTGAGTGTAATAGATTTTTTTCCTATGGTGTAAGTCATAAAATGCATTTTGAAAATATCTGCAAAAATACCATGACCCTACTTGTTTCTCTTCTGTATTCTTCATTTATGTTTCTTCAAAACTTAATAGAAGTATTGTTTAGTTAGTGGTAGAAACTACAAGTGTTGGTTGAACTGTTAGTATTTGGCTTCTCTATATTTGAAAAAAGTAATGTTTTTGTTTTTTGTACCAGGGATTGAACTCAGGGGCACTCGACCACTGAACCACATCCCTAGCCCTATTTTGTATTTTATTTAGAGACAGGGTCTCACTGAGTTGTTTAGCACCTTCCTGTTGCTGAGACTGGCTTTGAACCAGATCCTCCTATCTCAGCCTCCCAAGGCCCTGGGATTATAGGCGTGTGCCACTGCGCCCAGCCTTTTTTTTGTTTTGTTTTGTTTTTTTGAGATGGGGTCTCCATGTGACTGGACTTCTTTCTACCTTAGCCTCGTGAGTAGCTGGGACTATAGATGCCTGGACCAACATGCCCAGTTTGAAAATAAGAGAACTTTCAAGTCCTTCAAAAGGTTCTTGACAGTTTTATGCTATCTGGGTTGAGAAGCTAGACAGTTGGATTATTACTTTTTTTTTTTTCCATATCTACCTGAAGACTTTGAAAGGATAGGATATTGAAAGATTCAAAAGCATCTTTCATATTGTAGATAAGACTTTCTGTCTCTAGGGAAAAGTTTCCCAGAGTAAAGCTTATTTGTTTTGATTGACTAAGTAATTACAGATGCTTCCAGAATGGCTGTCTTAGAGTTGTTGAATAATCCTGAGTTCTGGATTTAATGATGTGAGTATATGCAGGAAGAATTGACTTGTGGATTAAAGATTCTGTAAATTTTATGAAACTGTTATTACATCTTGAATTCTGTTAAACCTCTGGAGATGCAGCAGTGAACACCTAACATAACTACTATCTTTCAGATCTTACAACTTAAGGAAGTCCACAAACATTTAGGCAGTCTTACCTAAATGAAAGAGTTGTCACTTTATGACAGCTCTTGGGATAGGGTTAAGAAAAGTGTTATTATAACTGAACACTGAATCCATCGCAGGCATTCAAGAAAGAATATTATAATTAGCAAAACAAAACTTGTACTAGGCACAGGGGGAAACAGGCAGGAAAGCCCAGAGACAGAAGAGAAGGTGGAGCATTTGGAGACTTGAAATAGTTTGATGTGGTTAGAGCATTTTTGGACAGGATGGGTAACAGAAAGAAAGGTAAGTTGATGAGCAGGGGCTGGATCATGAAGGGGATTACTTGTTCTTTTTCTTTACTAAGTACCTGCTTTGTGCTAGGACTGTTTTAGGCACTATGTAAAAGACAGACGTAGTTCTTCCCTTGTGGAGTTTTACTTTCTGGATCAAAGAGGGGAAGGAGACATTTAAGCAAGAATTATTATAATGTTTGATAAATGCCATGATATTGGAAGCATAAGATGTGTTGGGAGCACATTGCAGGGGCAATTGATTGTTTTTAGGGTATTTGGAAACAGAATGGGATGTTAAATAGGAGTTAGCCAGGCAGAGAGGTTTTGTGTTTTTTGGCACTGGGGAT